TCACAAAATATACATTTACTAAATTAAAATAATAATCCCGAATTTGGACCTAATGACCAAAATTCTCCTAAGCACTTTTCAACAAATGACAAAATCCGCATTCCATGAGGAGCCTCTTGCCATTGCTAGTCTTCAGGAGCTTTTTCGAACACTTATGATGGTAATCCAGGTTATCAATCATCGTAGAATCAATGTTTGTACTTTTATAAACATTTTGATATACTTTGACCATCTTGAAACATATTTTTTTTGGAAGAACCCAAAATCCGGCAAGGTCCATAAACTTTGCAATTCTTCATCTATCATTGTAAGTTGATTTGTGATGTTTCAATCATTCATTTTTATCACAACTTGAAGAGAACATTGTCACAATCATTTTGCAGTAGATTTCATCCGTTTTGGTCTTGATTTGAGCATTATTCCAAATTTGGGAGGTCGCCAAAAAATAGGATTTCGATGACTTGAAAGGTATGCCTTTCTTTAACCTTGAAAATCTTGTCATCTAGATTTCGATCGTGCTGCTTAGATACCGACGGGACCAGGTTACCACAAGCTCTGTCCTTATTTGCCTTGGAGATACAAGTACGTCAAAAATGACGTATAACAAGGTCATGTTTAACATCCAAGACCCACGCCTATGATGATTGTAATCAAACAAAATATTGCCAATGTAGAATGTAACAAGATAAGAAAGTGTATATTGCATGTGACAAGATAGGAAAGTGTATACTACACCATTCTATTATCATTATATATACAATGAAAGAACCACCACAAGAAATAGTGTGGGGCACAATTATCTTCTCAAAAGTTCATTTCTCTCTCTAAAATTCTTTATGGTATCAAAGCATTCACCAATCCTCTTAGTCTTTCTTCTTAAAGTGGTTTATCTCAATAGCAAGCAAAAACCTCCTTCTTTATGGTTCTTTCTTTTTAGATGGTTCGCAACATCAAGAAGAGAGCTCTTCCATACTCAATAGCATTGAACTTTGCAAAATCAATAAGAGAATCATCAATTGTATTCCATAAACTTGAAGATTGAGAAACTCATCCATCCTTGTCCTATACCTCCATACGTTCATCTTAGGTTTGCATCTCTCTCATATTTCTCAAAGCCTTTTTTATTATTGTTTTTTAGTTTATTTTGTCTGCTACTCTTTCACTTCTTTATATCCATCAAAGCCCACTATCTCTCACGTCCGTTATATCCATCAAACCAATCATCGCCCCTATCTCCACTACTCTTTCACTCCTTTATATCCATAATATCCATCTCCTTATATATCTTCCAAACCATCTCTATTCCTGGCCATGAGTTCAGAAGATAAAGCTGAGTATATCTTCAATGTATAGGGTGTGCATGACATATCAACATCTCCATAGATGTAGATTCTCTCTCGCTCTATATCTCTCTTCACAGATGACAGATCAACATCTTCATAGATGTAAACTCTGTCCACTCCTCTCTTTTTCTCTTCCTGAACTCCTCCCCCCCCCCCTCTTTCTTCCTGCTTGGGGTGCAACTGTGTTCTTTTCAACTTACATTTTGTATGCCCACTCGATTTGGAATTTCAACTACATTTTATATGCCTACTCTATTTGGACAAGGAATTGTATAGAGGTATTAGGATTTTTTTTTGAATGGGGCAGCATGTTGTATAACGTATCTTGCATTTGGTGTATTATTTTTGTGGATGTCTTTTACTATAGTGATATGGAGTGATATGTGTGCATGTAGCTTATGTTCTTTTGAATGAAATGCGAATGAGATATGAACTGAAACTATTAATTTATATTTCATGCTTGTATAAACAATACCTGCGGTCTATATTGTTTTTGTGGGGGCCAAACACCAGGGGTGTATAGGACATGGGCTGAAGGCCCCAGGCAGGTGTCAGGGTACTCAAATGCCGTGCACTATTTTTATTCCACTTTAGAGGATGGAGATGAATAATTTCAAGACTACCAAAGTTGTCATGGATGTGTAACTATTTCCACAAGTTGGAGTGCTTTGAAGATAGTCGCATTTGTAGTGATGCTTGTGTGAACATCGACATTATTGTATTGCATTTTTTGTTTTTTCATGAAGTATCGGCTCATTACAACTCAATGAGTTTTTTTTTTAAAAAAAAAGTAAAATGAAGTTTCGAGACATTTCCAATAAATCGAGGTTTAATATCAACTTTGGGATGTAAAATTGCTAAATACAGATAATATTGGAAAGGAAAACGAAAATTCAGTATTTCATCATATTAAGAAATAATAGTAAGGATTGGAATGCAAGTGAGAAGAAGTTAATTGCTAAATCCTAAAATTAAATTCTAAGAAAAAATACAAAAAAATGGCAGTACCAAATTTATGGGCTAAACATTTTCCTGGCAATACAAACTGTAGATATGCAAATCTCATGTTTCTCATCAGGTGCTATCTAACCAATATACACCCCTATCCCGGGCATAGACCAAGTCTAAGAGAAGTCAATTCCATGGTAAGCCAATCCCCAAGATAGGCATCTTGAGTACCCAAATGAGCCATAAAGATTTTTGGTCATCTCTTTCTTTCACTTTAACACCGATGAGACATAGAGCGAGATGAAGATGAGAGAGAGAGACGCAAATTTGCCTTTGCGGGAGGAAATTTTAAATTAATTTTCGAGTTTCATTAGTAAATTTTTGTCGTATATTATATTTAAAGGAAAAAGTTTATATAAGGTTACAACCTTAAAATGTAGAACTACAAATGTACTTCAAAAATTCATTGGAAAATGTTGTTTCAATGTTAAAAAACCCTCTAATTGATCATCTCGACATCGAGATGTCTAACTATGAAGAGAAAATGGATTTTGAGTTCCATAAATAGTGCATCTTACATCACATTATCTAGACCATCCATTTTCAAGATTTTCATATGTTTATAGATCTACTTGATTTAAACGATTTTTGGA